AACCCTTAAAATGTTATTTTTGGCTCGGGCAACTCCAGGGACCCATGTGGCTCTGCCTTTTGCTTTAAAAACCCGCTTACATCCTGCCCTGTGATTAATTCAGCCAATAAATGTCCTTTTTTATTAAAAAAAAAAAAAAAAAAAAAAAGAGACCAACCTAAATCCTTATTCCTCTGATATTAGTTTGAATGCAATAAGTACTCTGTGTCCCTTTGGCTCTTTTCTTAGGTAGCTGGGAAATTACATGTTGATATGTGAAATTAGTGAACATATTATTGCCTAGACAACAAAGCCAAACTCGCTAGCTTTAACCGTAAAATTCCTTACTCTTTGGTCCCAGAAGCTCAAGGTTCCCACCTTGGTGCCAAGAACCTGCCCAGAGACATGACACTGTACTTCTCTATGCAGTATCTTAGCTTTTGCAAGCACTCCAGGAAGGCTATGAAATATTTGTGAATCAAGACACTGCTGATAACAACAGCTGACTGGGCTTTACATAAATTAGTCTGAGAAGTATTTCTGTTCAGATCTAAATCAAAAAGCATGATGTGCAACCTGACAAATTCTTCAGCTCACAAGAACCATTTGCTAAAGCACTCTGGGATTCAGGCAGTGACACGTCCCAGGCTCTATCGAGTGGCAGAGCTGGGAAAAGAATGCAGGAGTCTTCATTATTAGATCACACTGACAACGTAACTGAGAAAGATCCTTTTATACCGTCAATTAGGAAGAATAGATGGAAAAAGTCTCGGCTTGCTAGCAGCCAGTGTGGAATTTTAAATACAGCTGCCTCATTTAAACACCATCAAGGCATGCAGATTCATGCGCAAGGAATAATTAGAACCCTACAGCTAGTTGAGATACCAGCACCTCCCGGTATTTAGGATTCTGTTGCCCTCATTACTAGTACATTTACATTTCCAGACCCGTGGTGACTAATACGCTATTCTGTGCTTGCTTTAGCATCACTGCTGTAAGCTAAAGGGTACCACGGGGAGGAGTGAATGGGACTGGCAGATACAGAATGCAGCCTGCTGAAAAACAGCCTGCTCCTCAGCACTCCCCCAGGGAGCATCTCCTGACCACCTGAAATATCACGATTCTTAGAATCCATCTCTCTGACAGACAGACAATCAGTCTGTCTACCGAAAAAAGCTTCCAAGATTGCATCTCAGATTGAAAAGGCTGAAAATGAAGATTCTGCATAGCATAAAGGATTACTCACATCACTTCAATGACTGGTTTGGGAAAATCAAAGCCATTCTGATAGCATCGTAACCAAGGGATCACAACAGTTGCAGCATAAAACTAAATAATGTTACTTTATACTAGAGGAAAGACAGTAAATTCTTGCTCTGGCCCAATCTGGGTTGTTCCTGAGCAGAACAGATACTTCCCTTTGTAAGCAAGTAATTAATTAATTTATTTATTTAGAGGCACTGGAACATCAAAAATTTCTGTAGGTCAGAGTAAGAGTGCTGGCAGAGGTATTTCAGACTCTAAAGTTACATTGAGGAGGTACGGATCATGGCGACACTGGCTTTGCATTGACAAGGTAACACTGGTTACCAGCTTGCCTTGCATTTCCTAAGTTGCATCCAGCTTCAGCCAATACTAGTAGCCTCATCATTCTTACCTCGTCCCTTGTTTCTGTCCATCTTTCTCACACAAGTGAACTGAACGCTGGCCTCCAACAGATACAGTTGTGTTCTCCCCCCATTTACAGTCACATCAACAAAAAAAAAACTGCATACAGATCCATAAAAGAGCACTTTTGTAAGCAAACAAAAAAAACCAACCCCAAACCCAAGCCAACCACATTAAGTCGTACCATGTCTACCTCCATTCCCATAGTCAAAGGGAAACTTTCCCATTACAGTGGGGAAAAAAACCCAACATACCTGGTGTAGGAGTATTTGTTGTTGCTTCTATTATAAAGCAGCTTAACAACGGGCTATTGGGAGAGAAAGAAAAAAAAGCAGAGCAGTTAAATTCTGTGTTTGAATAGGTTTAGCAAAAATTCAGTTTCTCACTGGATAGTTGTGGAAACTGGACAGTTACTTTCATTGACGATTCTATCAGTCTTTCTTCTTCTTTCGGAGATGTGATAATAGGGATGCTACAGACAGGCTCATACAAGTCTTTCTTGTCCTGTTTTAAAGACAGAAGAGAGAGAGGAAATAAACTCAAGAGAGATAAAAGCTAAAACTAACATCTACTACTTCTCCAACCCTCCAGCCATGTTCCCAAACCCTGTGATGCAAAGGAAAAGCTCTGTGTTGCTATAGTAACCACACAGCGTTGCCTTCATCTGCAACCCAGAAACACAGCAGAGAGATTTCTTATCCCCAGAAGGCAGCAGTAATTGAAATCTCGGGATGCAGGTGGATGTCCTTCTTAGCTCTAGCAAGGACTCCGAGTTCAAGTCATATTTGGTTTAAGTAGGTTTATTATTTCATCCTTTTTTAAGAAAAGGATAGTAAGAGTTGGCACTAGTTTTAATCAACTCAAACCACTGCAGTATATAAGAATATCAGCCAGGATGAAGTGAACATTTGGCAAGAACAGCATGTCACCAAAACGGCCTTCAGCCCCTTGTGATACACCAGCAACAATCCAGAGCATGTAGTACAGTCTGTGACTCCAGATTCCTCGTGTAGCAAATTAAGGAAAGCTCAATAGCTAATAGGAAAGCCTTAGAACATTTTGTTTTTTAGAAGGAAGATTTTAAATTCCAAACCAGAAAGAAAATTGTCAGTGTGGCTTTGCATTCATTTCAGTGGACAGAAGCAATATATTGAACCTGGTCTGTGGGGTACCCATTAGTTACTAAGTTTTGTCCTGCAAGAAACATCCATTTCACAATCTTAAGGCTAATAATGTTACATATGTTGCATCTGTGCCAACCTTACTAAAGACTTGGAAGAACAAGCTGATTTCAAGCAATTTCATATGGACTAGTAAAGTGAATAAAGCTACTATGGGCTTACATATTTGCAAATAGTAGTAGTCAACTGATACAAAGAAAAGCCCTTAAAGTAATCAGCGGTTACCATATAGATCTTTTTCTCCATTAAGATTCAAACTTGGAAAAATGCTAACACTTTTTTCAAGATTCAAACGCATTCTGGCTATAAATATTAGCTAATTAGAAGTGACACAACTTGGGGAAAATTTAGACAAATACCATAAGGTCTTTTAGAACATATGCTCAAAATAATCATGTTTATTCAGTCAGCTTCCTTTAAATTTCTGACTTTTATTGCATTTCACACAAGAGGAATTCATTCACTGTTTCCTAAATAAAACTAAAAAAAAATAAAACCCAGAAAAGAACCAATCTCTCTATTTAAACGACAAACTGTGAATAGTTTCAACTTTATTCCTCCTTCTGGCATCCCTGTGAAGTAGGAAAGTTCTGCTGTCCCCAGCTCCTGCAAGAGGAGTCGCCAACTGCAACTCCTTGCAACTTACCTGCAAGGCTGCCTGGCACATGTCCACTAAGCCCTGAATGAGATAGTATTTGGCTTCTGCCATCAGCTCTTTGATCTCCTGTCTGTGCTTTGGAAGTGCAATCGTGTCATCTCGGAGATAGTTTAAAATTGTTCCAAAGTGCTTCCCACAGCGGTCTATAAGGATCCAGCCTGAAAAATAACCATCACATCATTTCAACCACCTCAATGCCAGGGGCACAAGAAAAAGCTCCTTAGAGATGTTAAATGAAAGTAATGTTTCCTGAAACAGCACATGAAACTCTTCCTATTTCATCCAGCAGAAGTCTTTAATACTGCTAAGAAAAACAAGGAAAGACTAGAACAGAGAATTCACAAATGTTTGTGACAAGTAGATTTGGGCTAAATTCTGTGGCCTAACAAGAAGGATCAGGCAGTTCTGCAACCATATCTCCTGATGTTGTTTGGAGTTAAAGAGAGTTGTTCCAAAGATGCCCAAAGGTAGACTGGCTCAGCAAACACAGCAGGGGAAAAAGGCTGTTCTAGTCTCCAAACAGGAGCAAAGAACAGGACAGAGACCGAGCGGGAGGGAGTGCAGAGGGGATGCAGCACAGGAAACAGTAGCAAACAGACAGCTCTTGTGACTTTAAAATATCCTTGTCGTCACATTTGCTAGGAAACAGGATGTCTGACTTGCTGGCAAACAATAGCCATGTAGGACACACACAGGCAGAGGGCTCAATACAGCACCAAACCCTTTCCATACTGCGGAAGGCAGGCAAAAAACTGGTAATTAGGCTAAAACACTGCTACATTCTCCAGCTGTAGCTGTCGGAACATGAATCTCGTCCTCCATTCAGGCTAAGGCTCTTAGATAAAACTGCTGCACTAAATGGATTTAGTTGTATGTAACATTCAACAAGACCTAGCCCACTCAAGGGGAACCTGGTTTAAATAATATGCAAAATCCACAAAGAGTTGTTTCAGTTTAAGGAAACGGACTGTTGAGACACCAAGTTCAAACTGATGTAACCTGGGCACGTGGAGGAGCTTTCACACTGGAGTGTTCAAAAACATCAAGAGGTTAAATACTTGCCAACCTCTCTCAGCCTCTTCTCCACAGCACCACAACCCACGTTCCTAGGGTGCCCCTTTGTCCTGGGCTGCTAAAGACAGGAAAACGAAAGCACTTGTAGCCATTGCTGACACTGGTCTTCTTGTTCTACTCTAACATGTACTGAGGATTTTTACAATGCCATATTCAGTGTCCAGCAGGAGCTGACATACTCCTTGACTGACAGGTAAATGCTGTCACAGCACTGTATGCCACAAGTGGAACATGCTGCTGGAAGAAAAAAAAAAAAAAAAAAAAAGAATTTCCAACACAGCAAACAAGGCTATTCTGAGCTCTAAGGATGGAAACTGAGTGTCCCTCCCCACATACGCACTGCCAGTGATGCCACTGGATGACACCACAAACGACCACCCACATACTGTCTGTTCAGTCTTCACAACAACATCAACAATCTGCACACCGGCTGTGATCGTGGGACACAGAACCAGTCCTTCCGCTCGTTAATTTTAGGAACAAAAGAACACATTTTTATAAAGCACAGAGGACTGTTAGCACCAATGGGAGCTGGCTGCCTAACGTTCCAAGCTATTTTTGGAAATATATCTTTCCCTACATCCTTCACCAGGCGTAGTCTTCGGATAATTAAAAAACCACGACCAAAACGCAGTGGGTTTCCAAAGTTCTCAAGAACAAGAGACATTCCCATACCTTCCTTGTCCGTGAGCACCTCCATCCTGCCGCTGAACATGGCCTTCAGCATGGTGTCGTGCCTGGTCAGCACCTGCACCGTGGTGTAATACAACGAGCCCCCGACATTCAGTCGCACGTACTTGTTCCCCAGGCTGCCCGCTTTGAAGCTGCAAGTTTTGGGCTTGGGCCCTGTGGCTGGACAAAGGGTGGTGGTGAGACACGTGTCCCCCGACATCTCCTTCTGTAGGTAGATGACAACCCTGCAGAGCGTGGGCTTGATGGATTCCGCCGTGATTGGAGAGGAGTCAGGAGTCACCGGAGGAGGACGGCAAGGCCAACACGGTCATAACCACTGCGCCCTTGGGACAGAAACATGTAAGATCAATACAGAAGCTTGGAATTTCCATGTACAGCAAAAACAGGAAGCCCACAATAAAGAAGAGATACTTTCATAGTTTCCTAGAGGCCCATCTACACAGTCTGACAAAACAAGATTTAGCTGTTTGTCAGACAACTCACACAGCATTAACGGTCGCTCAGCACCACCCAGTCAAGTTATGGTCACACAACTTCAATGTTCAACACCACCTTCCCATCAAGTACAGCCAGTCTTTGCAATATTTGTCTCAATTAAAAAGCCAGTGAGACATTTGCTGCTTCTTTCTCTCCCCACTCTCACTGTGCTCATCTTCCCATCAACAATAAGCTCAAAATGGAAACAAACAAGTAAAAGAATGAAACTCTATGGGGCCAAATCTGAAGTTCTTTAACTGGAAAAGCAGAAGCACAGGTTTCTTGCCTATCCTTCTCCTAATAATTGTTGTTCCCAAAAAGTTTTTGCTATTGGTTTTTGTTGGTGGTGTTGTTTTAACGCATTCAGACTACAAATACCTCCTCTTTGTTCTGTGCCTATGGCACATGAGTAACCTTTCATAAATAAATTTAACAACCTGCTAATTATATTGCTATTCTTCCTACATCCCTTTTCCTTCTCACCTCACCTTCCAACATAGAAAAAAATCCCACAACCCTCCATCTGCACAGCAAAGGACTTGGCAGCTACGGATGCTGCCTTAAAATTGCCCGAGATCTGAATGACTACTGAACCTAGAACTACACCTAAAGCGTAACATTATTCTGCAGTTCCTAACTCAATTATTGCAATTAGGTAGACACTGCAAACAATGCCTGTTAAATAACAAGCAATACAAATATTGTACAGATCATCAAGACACAAACCGAGCCTAAGAATTTTAGTGCCAAAAAAAGCTCCCTTTGTCTATAAATGCTTTAACTGGCACTCCCACTACCTGCCATCCTTCTTTACTTTCAGCGAATCCCCAGGAATGCCACAGCAAGCTTCAGCCTACAGCCACACAGTTTTTTTCTGGCTACATCACTTGAGTTAAGCAGCCCATGAGCGAGCCTCAGTGGCTCCACATGGAATTGGGCAGAAAGGTAATTCCTGATGGGGAGGCAGGCAGCAGCAACCAAAAATTGTGTATTCCGGTCACGGTGTTCTATAGGACGTTCATTACTCAGACAAAGCAGCTAAGGGTTACAGAGAATCAACCAGAAACCATCCACACCTTGCAAGCAGCACAGCCTCTTCCCAACCAGTCACGGGTCCTTCCTGAAATCCATTACGAGTAATTAAATCAAGACCAGAAGCAACGACACCTCGTGTGGCAGCTGAGCCCTTTGCTAAGAGGGGACACCCGCCTTAGGTCTGTACCTTCCCCATCCATCTCCTGCCTTGCCTTGGCCACTCGGCAATCCCTTTTTTAGAACAAAAGCACTTTTTTTAGAGACAGCCCGACTGATTCTGTAACAGAGAAATCCAGACACAATCAGAGCTCTCCAGTTCCAACACCGACTGCCCGGACACCTCCACCGCAGCCCGAGTCCAGCCCGTTCCTCACTCCTCTGACCCAGCAGGACCCCTGCACGGCCAGCCCGAGCGGGAGGCGCTGCCATCGCTCCAAGGCGTTCATTAACTAATAATCTAGAAAGCTTTTGCTGTAAACAACAGTGTAACCTTTAATTACCCCCATTAACACAACATTTTCTCGTCCCTTCCTTCCTGCCTTGTGTGGGAGGCTGCGGAACAACGACACCGCGGATGGGAAACGGCAGCAGGAAATGGTCCCTGCCGAGAATTGCCATAAAAAGGAACAATTTTAGCGGCTCCCGGGGAACCCGCCGCCCCCGGCCCTCCTGCGCCGAGCCGCCCGCCAGCCCCGGCCCGCGCCGCTTTACCCGCGCCTCTCCC